TCCATTCCTCCAAATGAATTGATAGTTGGCTATATAAAACTTGTTATTTATATATAATGTGTCCATATGCAACCTGACATCGACCTTTCCATATTCTCCATAATAGAAAGACTATGTAAGCTACATCATTTTTGGAGATATCAGGAGTGAAAAAAGGTTTATCCATGCAAGGTCCAAAAGGGATGCATTCATCATATCTCTTATCTGGTGAAGGTCTATTAATGCCCACAGTTCTCCAGTGATTCTAGAGTAGAAGAAATAGTGCTTGAGGTCTTCAGTTGCCTCATAACAAGCAGGGCAAAGTTTTGATGGAATAATTTTTTACAATGAAGGATTCCTTTAACTAATAAGAATCCACTAACCAATCTCCAAAAGGAAGAATTTGAGTTTAGGAGGTATCATAATATTCCACATGTATTTTCAAATTTTGGTATACATGAAGTCTGGAAAAGTGTTAAGGGGTGGATTTATCTCAAACAAAAGAAGATGTACTACGTTTTCACTATGTATTGTCCAGACTTATCATAGTGCCAAATCAATTTTTCTTCTTGGAGGGAAGATTAGAGAGGGATGGACAAGGTTTTTTCAATCTTAACAGGATGAGATAAGGTTTTAAGTAGGTTTACTTTCCAAACCATAGAGTTATAGTCCACTAGAAAGTATATCATTGGATGATCTAGGGAAGCTCCATTTAGAAGAACTTGTCTAGATGGAGGTCCTTATACATTATGTCAAGGACACTATCCAGGTCACGAAGAAGTTTCCAAGCCTATTTGGATAATATTGCTACATTGGACATATCAAAGTTCTTTATTGAAGTAAAGATTTGATCATGATCGAGTTTTATAATTTAGTAAATAGATACACACTCATTTCTATCTTAAAAAATGAAGTAAAACTATGTCAGCGATGCAGTAAAGTGGAATGGTTGTATTTCAAAGGTCACAGTATTCTAAACTATTTAGGCTCGGTTGTTATCTAGTCGACCTGATACTTAGCATGTTGACAATTAGAACTTAATGAACTAACGGTCGATAGGAGAGAAAAGGAACTTAGGGTGGCTCCCTCCCTAACTGTTGGATAACATGCAAAGGAAAGAAGGACGATCCATGGTGATCGAGGTGCGGAGATTGCTAATCTAGGGATTGGCTTAATGGTCATGCAACCAATACCCCTCCTACACTGTTCCACTAGCCCAATGTCACCTAAGTTAGCTTCATGATGCAAAGATATAACCTATCTCCTCCAAATGGGTTATGCCCAAGAAAGGGGATGATAAATCCCTAACCGCCTAAGTTGCAACTAGGGCTAATGGGATAAAGATAATCGATTACACACTACATGATACAAAGTAAGAACAATCATAAAATAGACATAGATAGATAGGTCCATAATTATGCACAAATCAAGTTTAAAACATCCTATTACATGTCAAATCTTAGGTTAGGGTTTGGGGGACTCAACCTCAAAGTACCTTGAGGAACTACCCTATGATGCGGGGAAGAATGGACATGAATATAGGAAAAGAAATTAGAAAGAAGGGTCTTCTAGTGATGGAAATCCTCCTCTAAGGCTCTCCTCCACTTCTTCTCCAACCTTCTACATCTCTCTCTAACCTCACTCTAGAACAAAAACTCTGCCAAAAGCCATTCTACTCAAAGGGAGGAGACCCCTGTTTATAGGGCTATGTAAAATGCAGGCAAGTACGTGAGTACGAGTCAAGAGATCTTGGTCGTGATCTTTGGTTAGAAGCCGCGATCTTTAGACCACACTACTGGCACGGGATTTTGCGCATGGACTTCGTGGTTGTGATCCTGAAGTCGCAACTGCGATCTCTTCTCGCAGCCTTAAAAGTGGATGTCCATGAGTCGACTATCGAGAGTTTCTTTCTTCCTTTGCCTGCAGCTTCTATGAGCTCGCGGTTGCCTCCTCAAAGATAGCGGGTGTGATCTTGGCTTGAGAGACCGTGATCTTCATCTCGACTTTGCAGCTCCTCTTTCTGCCTATAATCTCCGCCCCTATGCGTGATCTCTTTGTTCCCCCCCTTTTTCTACACTTGTGACCCATTTTTGTGCCTAAAACGGAAGTATCATCTAACACACCCTAAAATGACATGAATTACTTCGAGGAACGAATTTGGGATGCATTTGATAAAATATTTATCATTGAGACCATGATATGGCCTAAGAATACCTAAAATATAGAGGGTAAATAACACCATTTTTATCAACTCCCCTACAATTAGGTGTTTGCTTGTCCCCAAGCAAAACTTTTCAAATCAGTACAACTTGGAAAACAACCAAAATGGTATGCTCTATAGTTTTTTCGGTTTCACTTTCAAGAATAGTCGTGGTCGAGTAAGCGTTACTTTCATCTCTTTGTGACAACATACACTATTGGATGATGACAATGTCGACTAAAGAGGTTTACACATTTAAGGTGTGAATTGGGTGACTCCCAAGGAAAAATTGAAAAACAATGGACTCATTGGTGGTCCTTTTCATTTTTTGGCTTTAAAGTATTAGAACTTTTTAGCATCTTTTTTCGCATTGCTGAACATGGCACCAAAATTTTGCACCTTTTCAAAATTAGGCTTCTCTCTTAGTGGCTAAGAGCAAAACACATAGCCTTCTCTGTCTAAGTCTCATGTCGGGAAAAGTTATGGTTGAGAGTTTGGAATAGTAAAAGGTGAAGCGTTGGACGTTGGTATGCTCTCTCAAGCACCAAATCCCAACCAACACTTTGTTGTGAAATTTTGTGGTGATTCCCAACTCCTTGTTTGTCGGGTTGTGGCGGGAGAAGTTTCACACGACCCTGGCGAAGCTTTGCTGGAGGATGTTGGACTATTGGCTTCTCATTTTTAACACGCCTTGGCATTTTAATGTGGTTTCCCATCTAGTGAAAAAATCCCTTTCATCAGTAGTTCTACTATTTGTCGACTAAGAAGGGATTCCATAAAAAAAAAAGTGATGAGAGGAGCTCTCTCCTCTCTCCTTGCTTGGCCGTGTAGATTGGGGGGGGGGGGGGGGGGGGGTGCTACTACAGATCCTATCTTCCTTCTTTCTTATCAGCCCGAGGAATCAGAATACTGGAAGATGCAAGTGTGCGCGGAGCAGGATATTCTGGGTGAGCGTTCGTGGATCCGGGCTGTCGGATGGATCGCTTTGGCAGATAAACAACAGTCCTTTGCCTACCCGAGATCTTTCTCTAAAGAATGGATGCCCTAAAAGGATGATCCGTAAACGCAATCGAAGTGGTGATCGGGTGGATTTCAGTTTCCCTCCGAGCGAAAGTGCTTCTATTTATTATAGTGCTGCAAAAAAACGCAGATTTACCCGAATACAAGAGTGGAGATTTCGGCTCCCTTCACCGTCGGAACTGGTAGGCGAGGATTCGCTGTCATCCACGTCCGATGAGGTTATTGATTATTGTTTTACTCCATCGGTGAGATCGGGTGATCGGTCTGCCCATGAAGTTATTGATCATTGTTTTGCTCCATCAGCGAGATCTAGTGATCGGTCTGCCCATGAAGAGCGGGACTTTGTTAGGGAAGCGTCGGAGGTCCGGCGGCTGGTCGTCAATCGACGGTTATCAGAATCGCCGGAAGGCGCTACCGATACATCCGACGGGGGGATCGCATGTGTGTCCACGTGGACAGCATCATCCCAATCCCGAATGATGGGGAATACGTGCGTTATCCAACCAGACCCGGATTCAAAATCCCTTATCATATCGGGGTTGTTAGGATCGGAATTGTGGATCCCCGTTTACCGAAAAAATCAAATGAGGACCAGCAGTTATGTGGGAATCCTTCTCCTACTTGTACTCAAATTCTAATACGCCAACAGCCTCTGCAAATAGGCCTCACTAGAGGCATTATTCCTTTATTTATACACGCTCGATCTGGGCGGACTAGCACCAATACTTCTCCACCTCGACGTCGCGAAGAGCTGTCGATATCTGGTGCTATTTCCCTTGTGCCCTCGTTTCGAGACTGCTCAGGTATTTGGGGTGTGTTGAATGTTCGACCATCCCCCTTTTCTTGTCTTGGGAGACGGGACCCTATATCCCCTGTTGTGCTACCTCGTCTGCTACCGCCGCTTCATGGCCAGCCTTTATCGGACGAGTTGCTAGGGTGTGATTATCATGGTCCTAATACAAACTCTTATTCTTATTGGTAGGTTATGGATAGGATGGTCCACGTAACTGAAGATCAGGTGGTGCAATTCTCCCTTGAGGAGGTACAATCGACCCGGTTCCGAGCTTCTCGAACCCTCCTTGGTCGCATTTTCACAAACGATAAGATCACCACAGTAGAGCTGCGTGGTGATTTACTGGATGCTTGGAAGATCCGCGGGCATCTCAAGGTTTCGCGTACAAAGCATGGGCTCTATGAAATCATTTTCCCGAATGAAGAAGCAAAAAAATGGGCTCTTTCTCGGAACCCATGGGTTATTAAGGATCGATTACTTATCCTTCGATCTTGGGCTCCTGTTATTCCGAAGGGAATTTTTGAGGAGATGGCTAAGGCCCCTTTTCGGATCCAACTTTGGGGAGTTCAGGAAGAATGCTGCACCAAACTCTTTGGCCAAAAAATGGTTGCTGCCGCGATTGGGCAAGTGTTGGAGTCCGGGGTCTTCGCTTGCAAAGAGACTGGCGAGCAATTTATTAAAGTGAATACTATTGTTGATTTTTCCCGGCCGCTCAGATCGCAGCTTCTGGCGACCAGCGAGGAAGTTGATAGCTTCTGGGTTGGACTAAAGTATGAATTCCTTCCGAGTTTTTGCTTTCATTGTGGCCGAGTCGGCCATGCTCGCCGTGATTGTGTCTTTGACCCTCCGTTTGGCAAAGAGCGTTTTGGCCCACTTATGTCAACGAAAAAGGTCGGAAGGAAGGTCTATGAGGATGATGGTGCTCTCCCTGCGTTTGGTGGGTCTCGGAGGTCGGTTTGGATTAACCACCAGGCCCGCAAAATGGATGCGCCAGGATGAGGTGGGTCCACAGGGGGGGGGGGAGGTTTGCTCGAAGCCCAGGAAAACCGGCCAACCTGCCCCCGCGCAGCCCTCGATGGGATCGGAGATCTCCGACGATCTGTCAGTGCGGCAGGGGAAGGGTATAGTTCGATCTCCTACTGGTCGTGACAGCTCGCGGGGGTTTACCCTCATCCGCTCTCCAAAAATCCAAATGGGAAAGTGTCGACATAGGCAGATGGGAAAGAAGAAGCTGGCGGTTACCCAGGAACCGCCTATTGATGAGATGGCCCGACAGATCCAGACTGTTCGGCTTGAGCCGATTCCACAGGAAAATGGTGGTCAAACTGCTGTGATCCAGGAGGAATCTCGCCGCCGCCGACTGATTCTCGAGGATGATTTAGATGATGATATTCCCGACGGGTTTCCACCAGCTGCCCGGGATCCGATGCCGCAACCCATGCGGCAGCTTTCTTCGATGCATGAGGAAGTCTCGTCGGGCTCGGCTGCTTTCACTAGGCCGTTGGTGCCTGGTAAGGAGAAGCTGGGGAAGAGTAAATTGGGAAGGCCGAAGTCGGTAAAGAAGACAGTGGAGGGAGTTTCTCCTCGCAAGGGGAATGTGAAAGGCGAGGAGGAGGGAAAATCCCTGCCAGTGCCTGCGCGGGATGGACGCAAGCTGAGAAAGGCGAAGGGAGTTTTGGCGGCACCGACCCACGTGTCACTAACCTGTCCATGTGATGAGGAGATAGTAGCTGATGCTACTAATGCTATGGAGACGATGTGCGAACCGGCCACTGCTGCTGGGGAGAAAGTGGTAGAGAATGTCATGGCGGGGAATGTGTCGGATGGATCGTTGTCGGGGGGAGAGTCTCACAACTTTGTGATAAAAAAGAGGACCCCCCCCCCCCCCCCGGCTGCGTCCAAAGGCCTTTGTCCTCCATCCAAGGGTCGGGTGAATCAAATAGTTGCTGCGTTTGAGGCGGGTATGGCAGTACTGATCAGCCAGTGGGGCCAGGTCTCGAGGGGAGTGAAGACAAAGGCGATGTAGCTGGGGCTGGATCCAATGGTATAACTACGTTGGAGGATAGCTTGATTGATGAATATAGGTCTAATTTGATCAGTCCGCCCCCTGGTTTGAAAAAACGGTCCTTGGAGGTCATTGAGGGGGAATTGGAGGTCCCTCCTACGCCGAAAAAACAGTTTGTGGAAGTCTCTGATGTTATTGATAAGGTGGAGGAAGCCAGCCTGGAATGGCCCCAACCTGATAAATGAAGATTCTAGCCTGGAATGTGAGAGGCATTGGACCATCCCTCACATTCCAAACGGCTTTGGGAATGGTCTACTCGAATAGGCCGGATCTTGTGTTTCTCTCTGAAACACATTCGAGCCGGCATGTTGTTTCCCGTCGTATACGGGGGTTGGGTTTTGATATTTCTCGTTGTTTTTTTATTGATGCTGTTGATGGGTCAGGTGGTTTAGTGTTAGCCTGGTCTCTGGATGTGTCTGCTTCGGTTTTTTATTCGTCCAACTTCTGTATTTGCTCCCAAATTAATGTAGTGGAGTTGTCTTATATTGTGGTTTGTGTTTATATTAGTTGTTCTGCCGCTACTAGAAACGCCCAATTGGCGCATCTCTAGGAAATTTGCTCTAATTTCCGTCTCCCCTATGTGATTATTGGTGATTTCAATACGATCCTTAGTGCGACTGAAAAAGATGGGGGCCCTGGAATGCTAATAATTCTGCTAGCTTGCGAGATTTTATTCATAATTTGGGGCTTCATGACCCTGGGTTTCAAGGTGATATCTTCACTTGGACGAACAAGAGAATGGGGAGTGCCTGTGTCCGTGAACGTTTGGATAGAGCCCTCTGCTCCCAACTCTGGGTTGATCGGTTCCCTGAGTCCTTAGTCAAACACTTTACGGATCAGGGGTCAGATCATAGGGCCCTCCTCCTGTCTGATAGACCCTACACTCGGAACAGCCGGCCTCTCTTTCGCTTTGATGCTCAATGGGCAGATAATCCGGAAGTGAGGGCTGTGACTGCTTATGTCTGGAAGGAGGAGATACAAGGCACCCCTATGTTCCGTCTTTGGGAGCGCCTCAAGAAACTCCGCCACCTCCTATATGATTGGAGTAGGGCGGGGACCACTAATTCCCTACGGAATATTCGGAGAAATTGATAGGATCAAGTTGATTCACCCTATCGACTGGGATGTGATTCGGGGGCTCGAAGCGGAATTGAGCAGACAATGGTCGGCGGAGGAGATTTATTGGCAGCAGAAGTCCAGAGTTCACTGGTTGAAGAAAGGAGATAAGAATACGTCGTACTTCCATACGGTGACTAGGACTCGGCGTAAGCGTAATTTTGTGGCTGGGCTTTATAACGAGAATGGGGACTGGATTACCGATGAAAGTGGAAAGGCCGGTGTTGATATTTCTTTCTATCAACACCTTTTCACAACGGAGAATCATGTGGGTAATATGGCTGAGAGGGTGGCCGAACTGCCTATTGCCCGCAGTGTTACTCCGGAGATGAATGCCAGTCTTACGGCTATGGTCCTACCTGCTGAGGTGCGTAAAACGGTGTTTGCTATGGGATCGAAGCAGGCGCCAGGGTCGGATGGTTTCACTGGCAAGTTTTTTAAGGCCTTCTGGGATATAGTAGGGGAGTCGGTTGTGGAGGCAGTGGGTTCTTTCTTTGCTACAGGCCGGATGCTCCGGAGTTTCAATCACACGTGGCTCAGTCTGATTTCCAAAGCCGATAATGTGGAGTCTATGCGGCAGCTGCGGCCAATCAGCTTATGCCAATTTGTTTATAAAGTCATTACAAAGATTATGGCAGAACGTCTAGCCGGCTTATTACCGAAGATTATTTCCGAGGGTCAGAACACGTTCATTCGTGAATGGAAAATTGTTGAGAATATTCTCCTGGGACATGAGTTAATGCACTATCTAAAAATAAAATCGCGTGGCAAGAAAGGGTACATGGCTCTAAAGGTTGACATGGAAAAGGCCTATGATAGAGTCGAATGGCCGTTTCTTCTTGCGATTTTGGATAAGATGGGATTTAGCTCTGCCTGGCAGGGATGGGTTAGCGAATGTCTTCGATCCTCTTCTTTTTCGGTTCCTATGAATGGGGCTCCATCAGGATACTTCACTCCTTCTAGAGGGTTGCGCCAAGGGGACCCTCTTTCCCCTCTCTTGTTCGTGCTTTGCACAGAGGGGTTCGCGGCGCTCCTTCGAAAGGCAATTGCGGACAAACGGCTGGAGGGGGTCAAAGTGGCTCCTCGGGCGCCAAGAATCTCGCACTTGTTTTTCGTAGATGACTCTTATTTATTTCTGCGGGGTACTCTCCAGGAGTGTGAAAACTTGATTGAGGTCCTCAATGATTATGAGGAGTTGAGTGGCCAGCGGGTGAACCTGGATAAATCGGCGGTCTGTTTTAGTAAGAATATTGTCCGGGCGGATTAGGAATTCTTGGCTTTGGTGTTGGGAGTTGGAGCGGTAGGGGTTCATGATAAGTATCTGGGTCTCCCGACTCTTATTGCTCGGTCTAAGATGGCCACATTTCGATATTTGGAGGAGAAGCTGCTTGAACGTCTCCAAGGTTGGAAACAGAAGACCTTGTCTTGGGCAGCTAAGGAGACTTTGATTAAATCGGTTGCGTTGGCTTTGCCACTGCATGTGATGTCCTATTTTAAGCTTCCTCTTTCGTTATGTAGGATATTGGATAGACATGTGGCTCGCTTTTGGTGGGGTGAGGCAGAGGATCATTTTCGGATCCGATGGGTTTCCTAGCGGAACTTGTGTCGCAGTAAACACGAGGGGGGGTTTGGGGTTTCGTAGATTTGAACAATTCAATCAGGCTCTGTTGGCAAAAATTGGATGGCGGATCCTTATGGAACCCCAATCCCTGCTGGCGCAGGTTTACAAAGGGAAGTATTACCCTAATGGTTCTTTTCTCGACGCCTCTGCTAAGTCCCGTCCATCATGGGGGTGGCAAAGCATTCTGTTTGGTAGGGAATTACTTCAGCAGGGCCTGCGGTGGCAAATTGGTAACGGCCAGAGTGCATCACTGCTGAACTCTAGCTGGATTCCTCTGCTCCAAATGGATCCTCCATGTTATAATCCGCGGGTCCTACCAGAAGGGGGGGACCCACTTGTGGGGGAGGTTATTTGTCCAGGCGGGGGGTGTTGGGATGATCATAAGCTAGCTCAATGGTTTGATCCTCCTACTTGCAAAGCCATTAAAGCTATCCCTCTTCCAAGGCATAATGTAGCAAATAGGCTAATCTGGCATGGATCGGCCGATGGGGTCTTCACGGTCAAATCCGTGTTTCACTTAGCTGTGGATCTGGATATGAGGAGAGGGAGGTGGCGATCTATGGTTTGATGGATAAGGAGTCGTAGATTCGGTTATGGGATGCGGATATCCCGCCGAAACTAAAAGTATTTGTCTGGCAAATCCTCAACTGAATTTTGCCAACCACGGAGGCCCTTATTGAGAAACGTGTCCCGGTACATCCCCGGTGTCCGGTGTGTTGGGAGAGTGTGGAAACGCTGGAGCATTTGTTCTTGGATTGTCCTGTGGCTCGCGCCCTCTGGGACTACTCGGGTCTGGGGCATTTAGGAGAAGGGCTCCCTCGTCATACTTTCCCTCTGTTCCTGAAGAAGTTGTTGGCACTGCTTCACCAACCTACTCTGTTTATGGCTGTGGTGGCTGTCCTTTGGAGGATTTGGCGCTCGCGGAACTGGGTCGTTTTTGAAGGTAAGCAATTTGGGTTCCCAGCTTTAATGCGCCAGTTCCACCAGCAGTATGAGGAGTGGGTCCGATTGCCTAAGGATAGGACCCCTCGGGATGCCTCTCCTATGATGGTTCCAAGTGGTGGGCAGCCCAGCGGTCTTGATGGAACAGGGAGTATGGTCTGTATGTGGGATGGTGCGGTGATGAGGGGTTCGCATTCAGCGGGCGGAGTGGTTCTTTTGACTCCAACGAGAGATGTTTGGTTGGTGAAGGGGATTCATCTTCCCTGCATGGAGGACCCTATGATTGTGGAATTGCTTGTCCTCCGGGAGGCGGTGTTTTGGTGCTTATCAATGGGCCTCACGGAAGTACAGTTTGAAGGGGATGCGAAGGTGCTCATTGATAAAATTAATGAGGAGGATGCCAGGGATAATCGGGTTGGTGCTATTCTGGAGGAGCTCTTACAAATTTTTAATAGTTCGGGGTTTCGTGTTCGATTTGTTGGTCGGCGTAGCAATAGGCTAGCCCATATGGTGGCTCGTAAAGCCCTCTCTTTGTACCCGGCTCAGAGTCGTTTCTTTGATTTTCAGGCCTGGCTTAACGCCAATATGTAATTATCTATTTTTCTTATCAATATAAGATTATCTTTTTTCAAAAAAAAAAAAAATACTATTTGTCGACTATTGTTTCTCCCTGGTTACTCTCTTTAGTATAAAATTTGAGATTATGCGTTGGCGGCAAGGTTGCCCGGTGGTGTAGTTTGCACACAAAAATGTCTTTGGTAAAATATACATTAGGACTGGAGTGCTTAAGCGTTTCTTTCCAACGTCTCTAGTCTCTACCAACTTACAAAAATTAAATCAATAATTGGACCGCAAAATACCCACAAACTTGTTCAGAAAAAGTGCCCACAAACAAGATTAATAGTTTTTCGTAAGCAAATGATCAACTAGGTTTTGGATGGATTCTATTGGGTTTTCATTATTTAAGCCATAATTTTAAAGCTGATTAGATCAATTCCACATAGTACATGTGTGATTAGAGAATTTTTTTCTCAAATTAGGACTTCCCAGCAAAGACTTCTTGGGAGTAGTTCGATTGGAGGGACTCACATGGGGTTGTTAAGTTCGGAAGGAGAAATTATTATTCATATGTAATTGATGGATTATGGAAAAGGAAGATATTACGTTATCATTTTGATTAATTTAGGAGTCAGACATCTCTAATATGAAATAAAAACAAACAAGAAAAAACATATTTATATGGTTTCTTTAACGGTTACATCGTTGAAACTAGCTCACGGTCAAATGTGATATATTTCTTACAGCTAAATTACACGATCGGTCACTCAAATTATATGAATTTTTCACGTTGCC